TAAGCCCTGCTCTCTCCTTCACTATTTCATATAGTGTCACTGTACAATGAGGTTAAATAACTTGCCCCAAATCCCAGAGCTGTCATGTATGAGAGCAAAATTTAAGGCTATACACTCAATACATTTTTACTTCTTTTGAATAAATTTTGATTTCTTTTGTTAGATCTCCCTTCCATAAGGTAGTAGATAATCATAGGATTATGAAGTACTATTTAAGAATCATGGTGTAAGTACAAGTTAAGAACCAAGTAGCCCTCAAAGGACTCTTGTTCTTTACTTGATTTCTCTGGCTTTCTGTAATCTTATGATTAGCATATCAGTCTCATGAATTCATTCAAATTGTATGACAAATTCCTTGGCTACATATTGGAATAACACCTGGAGACCAGAGTATATCTGTACCTAGTCCAAGGTAGGAAACAATCCTGAAACAATATCATTGTCTGAACCGTACTATACTACTACTAGAATAAGTGGCTGTCTTTTACATGACACCATACTATATAAAATATACTAGATACAGCCATTTTTTCCTATATTATATGGAGACATATGCCATAATGTCTAGTACATAATTGGTATAAAGAAATAAAATATGCATATTTACATTTACAATAATTATAATTATTAATTACTTTTCATCAAAAATTGGTTATTTTTCATATGAGTAACCAATTAGAGTATTGGTGGCTTAGAGAAAAATATATGTTGATTTTTTTTTCTCTCATATAAAACATATTGGTTTTAAAAAAAAAACTTTGAATGTCATTCTTTGTGAGGTTATGATTTTTAAATAGTCCAATGGGACATAGGACACTAGAAGCATCCGTTCTCATTGATAAGTCATAAATAACATCTGAAAAGGCTGCATAAGTAAACATAATGTTTCATGCCTCCTTGCTAATGATAATGGCAGATTCATTTTGCATTCTGTGCAGCTGGAATCTATGTGGGGTTAATTAATCCTATATTTTAGACATTTCTCAATCTGGGTCTATGGACTGATTGTCCTTCAGTTGTATACCATGTGAAATGGAAAGCCAGAAACTTAACTTTTTTTACCCTGCAAATGAATCCTTAATGGAAATTACTGTTGTACATTCAGAGTATTACTCTGAATGTCTTTGATAGAAAGGAACAAAAGTCTGTATTTTTCTTAGTTTTAGTTTCACTTTTCTGAATAGCTGAAGGGTCAATTCAGTCAACCACTCTTAGGGATTGTTTTTTGATTACAGGATTACAATGTGCTAAGTCCATCATATCCACAAAGGAAGCCTGACGTGAGAGGGAACCAAATGTTACACTATATAGGCCTTAACACATTTGGATTTTATCATAATCATGCCCTTGGAGAGGGCATTGATTACCAGGCTATTTGGGTAAATGTGAATCTCTAAACAACCTTTCAGGAGTATGTTTTAGGAACTGTCATGAACTCACTTTTACTCCTAACTCTTTGCTGTGAAGTCTTAAAACTTGTAGAATTATATGTATAGATATATATGTGAATATTTGTTAAATGATTGGTAGGAAATTGATGAATTTAGTTTGAATGTATTGGCAAGAGAAATTTGTTTGAGATACAGTAGGGTGACAAAAATTGTTATTTTTAATCTGGTAATATCAGAACTGTGAATTCAGCTATTGCTTACTTTTATTTTCCCTCCCTCATGTGAATGGTAAAGTTGCAAGTGAGAAGCTTATCAGAAAAACAATCCAAGAAAAATTGATCCATAATCAGATAATTTTTAATAGAATTATAGTTAAAAAAAAAAAAAAAACAGCATGTTGTTGGCATCAAAACAGGCATGAAGGCCAGTGGAATAAAAGAAAACTCAAGAGATAAACCCACATAAATAAATACAGTCAGCTTATACTAGACAAAGGCATCAAAAACATACATACATTGTAGAAAAACTTCTTCAACAAATGGTGCTGGGAAAACTGGAAATCCATATTCAGCAGAATGAAATTGAACCCCTGTCTCTCACCCTTACAAACAGCTCAGCTCAAAATGGATCAGAGATCTAGGAATTAGAACAGGAACTCTGCACATACTAGCAGAAAATGTAGGTTCAACAATTCAACATGTTGGCTTAGGAACTGACTTCCTTAACAAGACTTCTAAAGTGTAAGAAAAAAGGTTAAAAATCAATAATTGGGATGGCATTAAACTAAAAAGTTTCTTCACAGCAAAGGAAACAAAAGTGTGAAGAGGGAGCCTACAGAATAGGAGAGAATCTTTGCCACCCATACCTCTGATAGGGCATTGATTTCCAGGATATACAAAGAACTCAGAAAACTTAACATACACACACACCCGCCAACAAATAAAACCCCAAATAACCCAATCAATAAATGGCAAAGGAACTTAACAGACACTTCTCCAAAGAAGAAATATGAACAGTCAACAAATATATATATTAAAAAAGTTCAACATCTATTGGAGAAATACAAATTAAAACTACACTTGAGATTTCATCTCACTCCAACCACAATGGTTATTATCAAGAATACAAATAAGCCGGGTGCAGTGGCACATGCTTGTAATCCCAGTGGCTTAGGAGGATGAGGCAGGAGGATCTTGAGTTTAAAGCTAGCCTCAGAAATTTAGCGAGGCCCATAACTCATTAAGACCCTGTCTCTAAATAAAATACCAAATGGGCTGGAGATGTGGCTCAGTAGTTAAATTCCCCTAGGTTCAACCCCTGGTACCAAAAAATAACAATAGTAATACAAGTAATGATAAATGTTGGTGAGGATGTGGGGAAAAGGGTGCACTCATATATTGTTGGTAGAACTGCAAATTAGTGCAACGACTCTAGATAGCAGTTTGGAGATTTCCTCAGAAAAAAACAGGTGTGGAACTACCATTTGACTCAGTTATCTCAGTCCCTGGGATATATCCAAAGGATTAATATCAGCATACTACAGGGACGCAGCTGCATCAGTCTTTATAGCTGTACAATTCACAATAGCCAAGCTATAGAGCCAACCTAGATGCCCATCAACAGATAAATGGATATAGAAATTATGGCATATATACCAATGGAATATTAGTCAGCCATAAAGAATGACTTTATGACAAATTAAGTCATAAACAGATGGGTCTTAGACTATCATGCTAAGTGAAATAAGCCAATTCCAAAAAAACTAAAGGGCAAGTGTTTTTTCTGATGTGTAAAAGCTAACTCACAATAAGAGTGGGGAGGGGAAGAATAGTTCGGTGTATTAGACAAAAGGGAATGAAGGGAAGGGAGGGAGAAAACAAATAGGAGAAACAGTGGAAAGAATCTGACATATATAAATGTACATATATAAATCCCACCATCATGTACATCTACAAGACTAGGGCCCTAATCAAGATATATTCCACACATGTATAATTTTATGAAAATAGACTCTTTTGTCATGTATAACTAACAAGAACCAATAAAAACAAAAACAAAAAAAATCTCGATTGTAGCAGGACATAGGGTACACACATGTAATCTTGGTGACTCAGAATGTGAAGGATTGCATGTTTGAGGCTATCCTCAGCAACTTAGCAAGGCCCAAACAACTTAGCAAGACCCTGTCTCAAAATAAAAAGTAAAAAGGGCCAGGGATGTAGCTCAGTGTTGTAAAGCACCCTGGGCTCAATCCTTAGTACCTCCCCGACCCACTCTGTATCCACCCAGCAATTTGCATCATAACTTTAAGTTGGACAGGGATTAGATAAATATTTTTTCTTGATTATTTGTAAGAAAAAGATTGTTACTAGACTTAGCAAACATTATTTTTCCTTTCTGACATACTAAAATCACTTTATTATTCACAACTTTTGTAGTAATAATTTTTTCCTTGAGAGATTTATCTGTGTTTAACCTTTTTTTGGAGGACATGTTTTATATCCTTGCTCGACTAGTGAAGTATTAAAAAATTATAGATTAAATTGAATACCATAGGAAGTACACAATGTTGAAATTACACTTAGTTAATTGCCTAAACCATTTTTACATACATACAGAAAGAAATTCAGAATGATGAAGATTCCCAAACCAATTCTGTTTGGAGCAAACATAGCAATCAAGAGAAAAACAAAGATTTCAGGAAAGATATGGGATTTCTTGAAGTGAGAGGTGCCTTAAGAGGGACCATATGTAGAACCCAGGTAAGATTTTATAGGCTAAAAAAAAATGTACATTTCTGGATTTTCTTACAGAATTGTTAGAGAAACAGTACATGGTAGAAATTACATGAATTTTGGAATCTGAAAGCTGATATCTGAATCCTGGATTTATCTAAATTCAAGTATTTAACTGCATATATAACAAATTTTTTAAAAGCATGGATTTTGATTAATATGTGGGGAAATACAGGAAGGACTTTGAACATGGTGCACTTGTGGCTGTCATGTATGAATTTTCAGATATCAGCAACAAACAAAAATGTCATTGTTCTACTCTAGAACACATGATGTTCAATTCTGTTGTTTCATATTGTGTTTTATAGAACAGTCTGTTGGTTAATTTACCAAATTATTATTAACTTAGTAATTATTAGTAGTTTATATTGAAGTATTCTTATGTGTAACTAAAAAACAATTCTAAATAGATTGAGTTTTCACTGAATGTGTCAAATATTAAAAAAGAAAAAGAATTTTAGGAACAATTTGGAAGTTTTTTAATTGAATAGTCCTTAAATTCTACATGGTAAGATTATCTAAAACTTCTGAAGTTAATACTTTTGCATGTTTTTCCAAAATATATTTGATATTTATGTGACTTATAAGACTACTTCTATGATCACCTATGCATGCTTATAAAAAAAGTTTTTAGGGTTGATGTGTCTGTTGAAATATGCAAAATATAGCATAAAATATTTTTAAATACATAAAGGATTGTAAAATGATGAAATTATTAAATAAATTCAGTTTGACTAAACATGAGTAAAAGAATAAAATAAGATTTTGTAAAAGACAGAAATTATTAAAATATATCTAGGAGAATGTATATAAAATTTAGATAAAAATTTCTCATTTGTAAAATAAATTTCACAGTATAATGAGTAAATATTAAACATCTGAATTGAGCATACAGGTACACCAAATTAAGTGTATATGTAAACTTACTATAAAACTTAGGGAGCTATAATATGTATGTTCTGCTTTATGTGAGTCTGACTTAGATGGAATATAATTTGCAGAGCTTTTTACTTTTTGTATTTCATCTTGAGTTTTTCTGTTGGGACTTGCATTGTTGTGTTGAGGCTACATTTAATCCATAGACTAATTAAAGTAATTTTATAAATATACAGAAAGAAATGCAAAATCATGATGAAGATGTTAATGTTAGTTGTATTCTAAGTGACCATCACAAAAAAGAAAAATTCAGAGAATCCAGTAAAGATTTGAAATTTGTTAAAATGAAAAACACCTTAGGAAGGCATACATATGGAAATCAGGTAAAACTCTACAAATTAAAAATAATTTATTTACATTTACAACTTCTTTCTAAATTTACAAAGTACAATGTCATTCATGAAATTTCTTTTCATACATATGTATGAGTATTTATAAATATTTGTGTTTAGTTCTTAAAAGTAGATTCTTTTTAAGTATGTATTTATATGCACCAATTGTATAAGAAATAGCCTTACTGATTTTTTAAAAATATATGTATATCTTAATTGTAGTAGGACACAGGAACTTTATTTTATTTATTTATTTTTATGTGGTGCTGAGGATTGAACCTAGTACCTGTCATGTGCTTGGTGAGCATTCTATCACTAACCCACAACCCTAAGCCCAGAGCCTTACTAAATTTTAAGTCCCTGCTGTGTCATTCCTAACTTTATCTTTTTTCCCTTTTACCCAAAGGTATCCTTTATTTTAGAATATGTGCTATTTTCTTGCTTTTCATTATGGTTTTACCAGTTTGGTGAATTCCCAACAAATATTTGTTTAGGTTTGCCTGTTAATAATCATTTTGTAGTTCGTGCAATTTATAGACAATTTTTGCTAGTGTATACGTTTCATTATTCGTGTCACACTTATATCCATTATCTGTTTTACTATTGATAAAGCATTTCACTTTTCTTTTAGTTGATTTGCCTATTTTAAAATTTTGAATAATTATTTGAACAGTGTACATATTGTGTGATTCTTCATATACAAGTTAAGGAATTTCTCTAGTTTAGGTTATATTCCTAGGAATGGAATAGGTGGGTCATGAGGATTATGCATATTTAACTATTCTAAAACCTGTTTCCCTGAATGTTTGTTAATGTATACCTATTCCAAAAGTGAAGAAGATTTTTCTTTTATGTAGAGCTCTGTTTTTAATGTGTTATACTTGTGTTGTAACCCCCTCTTCTTGAATTAATTTGGATTTTGTAAGATACATAGTTTATATTGATACTTGTTTAATTGTGGTTTAAATGCATATAGAAGGAAACTAAGCAAAAAGATGAAGACAGTCAAAGAAATTATACTTTGAAGAAAAAACGCAAAAAAGAAAGTGATTGCAAGAAAAACATTGAACATGACAAAATTAAAAGTACCTTAAGGAAGCATATATATTACAGAAATCAGGTAAATCTCTGTTAACAAACTGTAGGTTTAATTTTCTCTGGCTCTTACTAATATAATCTAGAAAAATAATCTTATTTTTATGATTCCTTGCTGTGTTCAATATAACCTGTATGTCTTAGAAAAAAAAAATCTTGAGTTGATCTGGTATAATGTAGTTAATGTTATAATTATCTTTGGTACATAGTGAAAGCATTTTTGCATGAATACACAAAGAAATTTGAGTTAATAATCAAGATATTCAAATTAATTTTCTTGTGCATGAATATAACCAAAAAGAAAAAACAAAAAAGAGGTTCTGGAGAGAGTCTGAATTTCTTGAAATTTAAAAACAACCTTTAACTCTATACATATATGTAGTTTGAGTAATGCATTCTCACATAGATTTTGTTTTTTATACTTCCCTGGTATATATAATACAGATCATTTATAATATGAAAGCTTGTTTTTCAATGGAATTCTAAGATAAATTACTTCCGTAGTATAACTTTATTTTGCATTCTAAGCCACAGTATGTTTTTACCAGTTGAGCATTCCTCATCCAAAAATCTAAAATCTAAAATGCTCCAAAATCTGGTAGGTGTTTTGTTTTTGTTTTTAATTTTTTTTTTAGTTGTAGATGGACACAATATCTTTATTTTATTTTTTAGTTTTATGTGGTGCTGAGGATTGAACCAAGTGCCTCACACTTGCTAGGCAAGCACTTTACCACTGAGCCACAACCCCAGCCCCCAAATCTAATAGTTTTTAATGTGATATACTACAAGTGGAAAATTTCATACCTGACCTCATGTGATGGGTTGCAATCAAAACACATGCCACAAGCATTATAAATATGGTATAAAATTACCTTTAGGCTACATATGTAAAAAGTATTTAAAACATAATGAATTTTGTGTTTGAATTTGTGTTGTATTCATTGTATATTTATTTGTGCAAACATTCCAAAATCTGAAACTCTATCTTGTCCTAAGTATTTAAGATAGGAAGCATTTCATATTTTTCTCTAGTATAAACCTGTAAACATACATTCAGAAAGATAGTTTGACATGAACATGGCAACCAAGAAAAACAAGGAGGTTTCAGGAAAGACTTAGAACAGGTTAAAATGAAAACTATTTTAAGATATTGTATTTGTATATATCAGATAAAACTTTCTCAAATTGAAATGTTTGCTTTTTAAACTTTTTTATTCATTGCATCATCTTGATAAATGTTTGTGAGGCTCTTTGCTAAAGATAACATTGTATAAATGTGTTTTTGTACTGTCCATTATGATAGCATTCATGTTGGCACTATCTTTACTGCATTTGTCTAAAGTTCTTTTGTGTGTATATAGAAGGAAATGAAGAATTCTGGTTTTGCCAATTATGCCACAGAATCAAAAACCAAGGATATCAGGACAGATGTGGATGTCATTGAAATAAAAAATGCCTTAAGGAAGCACATATATAGAGCTCAGGTAAAACTTGGTACTCTTGGTACTTTCACTTTTTTCTGTAATATAACCAAAATATAATTATATACATATGCACATATAACATGATTCATTACTGTGTTAAATATGTCATAATTTTCTGAGTTCATTGATCTAACAACAGTAATGTAAATATGTTGAATTCTCTGCTATTTATACCTCACTAATAATATTACAGATTAATTGTGCTTACAGACTACTATAACTTTTTGCTGAATACTTGATAGCTTAATATTTGGCTAATTTAATATTTAGCCAATTTAATTTTGGTAGCTTTGTATTTTAGTTTAGTCGGTTGCACTGTGACTTTTGATGTCTGATTAGATTAAGGGAAATTGCTTTTTGATAGATCATACAACTTTTTCTTGGCATTATTGAAGCCAAAGATTTATTGATTTGATTTTATTTCTTTGTTAGCAACGAGTTTGAACATATTTGATACCTTTACTTCTCATTCATGTATTTCTTCCACTGCCAGTTGCCTATTCATACTCTTTGCCCATTTATTTCATTGGGTTGCTTGTTTTATATTCTTGCTTCTAGAACATTCTAAAATCAGAGTATTATCTAGCATTATAATCTATTGCAATAGATTATAATTAGCTGCAGATTTTTTTTCAGGACAATATTTTTTAAAATGTACAATGATTGTATACAAAATGCCCCCAAAGGCTCTTATAGAAACTGTTTTCCCATTTATATTTTTATTATTAGTATATTAAGGACAGTACACCATTTCATATCTTCAAAGTAAAAAATGACCTTACCTTTTAAGTTATTTTAATTTAGAAGGAGAAAATAGAAAGTATTCATACTCATTACTTATGAGAGTGTTTATTTCCCAAAATAATGAAAGTTGCTAATTTGGCCAGACATGACTATCAGATTAATTATAGCTATTAATGTGTTCCTGGATCTATTTTTTATGTTTGACCAAGGTTTCATGCTATGTAAGCTGAAATATATTTTTCAACCTAAAATGTTAAATTTTAATTATATGGTTTCTATTTTCTAGGCTGTCAGATACAACTGTATTAGACTAGAAAAACAACCAGTGTACAATGTAGAGGTAAGAGGCTTGGAGTAGGGTGGTGATGAGGACCAAAAAGAAGCTTTGTCTTTTGTTATTTTTAGTCATTTTGATTTAAAGGAATGTGTTATCTATACAAGAAAACTTCCTATCATATTTGAAATGTAGTCTAGTGAGAAATTAAAAAGAAAAAATTTCATACTATTGTAAAAAGTGATCCTGAGAATTAAAAGCTTACCTGTGCTTATGACAGGTGAAATATATATATCCTTATTCTTACATTTTATAACTGTCATAATTACTATTTTCAGATTAAATTTTTGTATATTTCCAAAGTATATTATTTTTAATATTATTATTCATTCCTTTAAAATTTGTCATTTTATTTCATGAAGTCTTTCAGAATGTTTTTCACTCTACTAATTCAAGGTAGTTACTTTTCTTGTTAAAAAGTGTCTTGACCATGGAGGAATGAATATATTTTGTGAAACTAAGTCTTACATTAGTGCACATCCTTGGAGTTATTTTATGACTCTCTAACAATTGGTACTTTTTGCTAATGTTGATTGTCCTTGATGATATCTTAATATATTCAGAAATCCTAATAGATAAAGTATGTTTTCAAGTTTAAAAGAAAAATATTTGCACCTAAGAGATTCTTCTTTATCCACCAAACTTTGCACATTTCTTTTAAATATTTTCATTTTGAGATAGGAAGTATTTTCCCACTATTTAAGGCAACAGAAAATAATAAATATAACAATAATTTACATTTTTGCATCACCTTCTTGTTGTAAAACACAGTCATACTCATCATCCTTTTTGAATCACAGCCTACCCCTATCAAGTAGTGAGGATAGGAATTACCTTCATTTTACAGATGAGGAAATTAAAGAGATTTAATCCTAGAATTTCATTCTCTGTTCTTTGAGTCATGCAGTCTTTTTTTCTTAGGTTAAAAATGCTGAATTTCCTAGAGGTGTATTGAATTTAATTGAAAGTCTCATAGAAGGTCAGTTTTTTAAAGAAGCAATTGAGGAACTTTCCTCTTTGCAAGCACATTATATCCCTCCTGTATGCCTTCTTCACGCTCTTCTAGAGAATGTTTTACAGGTAAGAACAGTCTTATGGGTTTATTTTCTTTTTCCAAAGGATGTTAAAATGTGAATATTTTCTAATTTTATATGTTTATTTTCTCTTTTCAATTGTATTTCCCCCTCATTTTAGTAGGAAATAGTTGTTTGATATCACTTTTTCTATTTTTTAATCATATTTAGGTACTGTTCAAGGATTTTTTTTTTTGGCTTATTTTCTCAGAATTTACAATATAACTTTCTTTTAGGTGAAAAAGTTACCTGATTTTTTCCATAGCAATAAGGTTATCCAACATAAAGTCTTGATTATAATGCTCTAGAGTACTATTTAGTAAACTACTCCTTTAGTACATTGATAGTAATCATTTATATTTACAATATTCATAGAGAATGAACATTAGGAACAGCTGATGAAAGATAGTTTTCTAATCATGTTAATAAAGGTGCTGATTTAAAAACTAAGCTGTCTGACTAATGTTGATGATAAGAATGTTCCATGAAAATTTCTTACCTTTAGTTTCTTTTAGGTGACTTTGGGAACTCAATCTTACTGTAATCATAAAAAGAAAAATGAAAGTTTTGTATAAGGTAGCCCTAATAACTAAACATTACCTAATTTGTACATACCTATTTAGAGAGTACCTCTTAGTTGCACTGTTTAATTAGCTAGATATGATACTTCTTTCTGATCTTGTCTAAACACATACATTTGGCAAAAAGTTAAGCCACAGTTATTTCTAGTTTTAGAATGAATTCTGTGGAAACTACTTTTAACTACGGTATTTTATTTGTTTGTTTATTTTTAAATAATAGGATAATATAGATACGTTTTCCAGTCGATACTTTCATATATTGTCAGCTCTTCTTCACTTGCATCCTCCTTGGAAGTCCCCAGCCATGTCAAGATATTACTTAGAGTTGTTTCAGTGTCCAACTTGTATGAAAGGAGCTTGGTCTTTAGTAGAAGTGCTTATCAGGTAAGGAATTTCACATGTGAGGATATTAAATTTAGTGTAATAGTTGTTAAATTATGTAGAGAAATAGACTTCTATTTTTAGAAAAAGTGTGTAATATATTTGTGTGTTGTATTTATGACAAAACTATAAAAAGGATAAGTTTAGGTCATGCGAAGAAAATTAGTTTATGAAAATACATATCAAATTTCAGTCATCAGAAGTATAAATATTTCTAACTATATATAATATCCTTTTTAGGGTTTTGTTATATTTTTTCAGCTAGAAATTTGAATTTTGAAACAGGTCTTAATGTTTCATACATATGTTATCTCTATTATGCCTCTGTACATGCTATCATCTATCTAGACCTTCTTTTGTCTTCCAAATCTTGCTATCTCCAGAAATCCTATTTCTTCTTTTTTTATAGTGGATCTACTAATTTCCTCATTTCTACTCTGATAAGTTTTCTGTATTTGATAGCCCTCCTTTGTCTTGGAAGATCTTTCTTTTTATCCATGTATTCAGTTTTAGGAGAGTCATAGCAGTGGTAGAAGACTACTGCCAGGCAAAAGGCTTGACCTTTGGTTATCTCTTTGAGTCATAAAAAAAAAATGACATACCATCTATATGGTTGTGATATATTAGAAGCAAGCTATTCAGCTAGGTAGCATGCTTTTATTTAGTCTTTCAACAAAATGTTTGGGGAAACAGGCACTATGCTCCATATATACTTTTTATCAGGGATAAAAAGATAAAATTATAGTTCCTTCACTTCCTGGAAGGTGAATGAGATGTAAACAAAATACCAGCATAACAGTACTAGCCAACATAGGTATAGGATGGGGAAAAATATGGTTTATATTATATGGCATTCTTCCTAATTTGCAAATCTGTTCCCTCCTTCACTGTCATTGCCTTTGTTTAAAAGCCCCTATTGTATAAAACTATTGCAGTACCTACTTTACTGATCTTGATTCACTTTATTCCCTTTATCTTCTAGGGTGCCTCACTATGCTCTTTCCATAGTATTCTTGTCATTTTCCAGATGAAAGTCCTTTATTGACTCACATATCACCTATTGAAGATGGGTGAAATTCTTTAGCAAAACATACAAGACCCTTCATGCTTTAGCCTCTGTGTCATGTATGTCTCCATTCTCATCATCACTTTCCCAAATGCCCATTGACTGTTTTCCATTTCTATCTGCTTGCTCTCATGTTTCTACCACCTCACAAATATCTGCCACCTCCAAATTATCCTTTAAAATACAACGCAGATGCACCTCCTACCTTTTGCCTTTTCCTTTGAGTTAAGTTTATCATTCACGTAATCCTTTCTTAAGATCAGGTGCTAAGTCTTGTATATCTCCATCTTCAATATCTAAGAAAATGTCTAGAACATAATAAATGCTTAATGAATGTTTCTACAAATTAATTGATGCTATTAGGAGATGGAATTTGGACGGTTTAAAAGTAGGCTTTTTATTAAGCAGAAATAACTAGGTTTTGTTTCAAATAATCGGTTTCATTATAGGTTGAGGAGGAAAAGTACCTAGAGAAGTTGTGGAATATTAATAAATGAGCTAGGTGATGTTAGTCTCTCTACTTTTTTATACATTTGAAATATCTCATAATATGTGTTTTTAAAATAGCAAGACAAGAAACTGTTTTCTATCCCTGGCAGATCTGGGATCTTATAGAACAGAGTCAAGTATTAAATAAATAATTAAATTTATTAGCTAGTAAATACTCCCCTAATAATGTAGATTCAAGACAAGGAAAGCTGAGTCAGGTGTAGAAAGTAAGAGACAAATTAACAATGGCCAAAGACCTATAGAGGACTGTCATTCAGAATAAGGTGGGTGAAGGGTGCTCTGTAGGGACACAATACAGGATGAGATGGAACACATCACTTCTGGGTTACATCTCTCTGCAGAGAGATGGTCCTGGACTAAATGCCTCCTAATATCAAGACACCCAAGAAATCCTGAGGCACCTTTCCAGAGATAAAGAAACCTGTGAGAATAGCCTGAGTTGAGTGAAACCTAAAATCCTTAGAAAATGCAGAAACAACTGGTCTAAATGTAGCTCACTGGATTGTTTTTCTACCATTGGTGGAATGAGGCCTAAAATGGACATTAAATTATGTTACAGGAAAATAAAGTTCAATTGCTTGCTATTTGGGGAAAAAAAGTTAAGTATTGAGACAGAATAAAAAGGTATTGTTGATATAATTAATCAGAAACTTAGGAGGTAGTAATAAATATTATTCCCTGAACGCTATAATCTTAGGTTCTCTTTTAAAATACAACAGTCACTAATATGGCATTATATAAAAACGTGGATGTGTAACCGATGTGATTCTGCAATCTGTATTTGGGGTAAAAATGGGAGTTCATAACCCACTTGAATCAAATGTATGAAAGATGATATGTCAAGAGCTTTGTAATGTTTTGAACAACCAATAAAAAAAAAAAAAAATACACTGTAGAACTATGCTACCTAACCCAGTAGCCACTAGAGACATATGACTATTTATATTTTAATTTAACTAAAATTTTGTAATTCAAAATTGAGATCTTCGGGTGTCTACTAGAACATATTCATCATCACAGAAGTTCTCTTGGATTTGATGACTGTAAGAGATGATAGAAAACAAAATATCAACTTATTAAAACTCAGGACTGGGTTGTGGCGCAGTGGTGGAGCACTTGCCTAGCATGTGTGAGGCACTGGGTTCGATTCTTAGCACCACATATAAATAAATGAATAAAATAAAGACCCACCAACATCTAAATTTTTTTTTAATTATTAAAACTCATAAAATACAGCCCTGAATAACCTTAATTTACTAAATAATGAAAAAGAAAATAATTGTGAATAAGAAAGAAAGAATTTTAGTGACTGTTAGAGTCTGAGAGCAAAACTTACCATTTGAATCAAAAGGACTTAATGAAATTCCTTTCTTTGTTTTTATCAGTGAAATAAATACAAAGAGAGAACACTGGTAGTTGTTAAATATCATGATCATTGATAGAGAAATTATAAGTATATTATTAGGAATTAAGTAGTCATGAGATATTGTAGTGGTTTAATTTTTAAAGGAAGAAAATGTTAATGAAATTTTATTGAGCTTCCTTTATATTTTGTTGAAGAAAATTTCATGAAAATTACATCAGTATTCTAAAAAAAAAAATTTTTTATCCACAAATTACTCTGTGGTTTTGATTGTATGTTATAGATTGTTGGTTCCTGTCTTTCAGGTCTTGTCTTTTCAATGAAAGTTTTTGTCACCAAATTTCAGAAAATATTGGGTCTAAGGTACTCCACCTAACACTGCTCAAATTTTTCTTTAATTTGGTTGAAAGTGAAGTACGGCATCTGAGTCAAAAGTAAGTTTTAATCACAAAAAATCTATACTTTTCTATATTTCTACTTTTTTACCTACCAATTTTATGATTGGTATACATATTCTAAAAAGTCAACTGTTTTCTGTTTTAGAGTGGGTTTAAGACATTTTCAGAAACACTCTAGTGACAGTAAAGTTTTATATGCCCCCTTTTTTTCCCCTCAGTTCACATTTTTATTTCTTGCTCTTTATTCAGATAGATAAATGTGATTTAACTTTAAAGGATTTATATATTTTAAACTTCTTTAGTAAATGAATGCTGAAGAAAAATCTTAAACACTGAATTTATGATATACTTAATAAGTTTTCCCCATACTCTAAACTTGTATAGATTATCGTTTATGTTAGTGTGATTCTTTTTTTTAACTGTGAGGCTATTTTTTGTATTTTGTCCTTTATTGTAATTATGTTATAATCTTTACATGTTATGACCTTTTTTATATTAAATCATTGCTAGTAATCTTTTGTGTTTTTGACTGAAGATACCGCTATCATCAATTGGGGCATAAACATTTACTTTTTGTTCATATTTTCATTAGGTTGTATGACTGGCCAGATTCTCAGAGTCTAAAAATAACAGGAAAGGCAATTCTTCTTGAAATCTTTTGGTCAGGAAGTGAGACCTCTGGGCTTTTGACCAAACCAGTGAATATGCTTTTGGAATGGACTATATATTCTCACAAAGAGAAATGCAAGTCTAATGACGTAAGTAGGATTAATGGCCTATGGAAAAAGTATACTGGGTCTTCTTTATTTGTAGGTTCTGTATCAACCAACCACTAATCAAAAGTCTTTGGGGGAAAAATTGCGTCTTCCTTGAGCATGTACAGACTTTTTTTCATGTTATTATTCTGTAAACAATACAGTATAACAACTGTTTACACGGCATTTAGATGTATTAGATATTATAAGTAATCTGATATGCTTTAAAACATATGGTAGGATATGTTTAAATTACATGCATGTACTATGTTATTTTAAGGCATTATTCACAAATTTAGTTACCTGCAGATTTTGGTATCTAAGATGGGTCCCAAAACAAATCTCCTGACAGTTGATGAGGATGACTGTACCTTGAATGAACACACCTTTTCTTTTTCTTTATTGTATGAATATTTGTATGAATATTGCATGGATACACTTTTTCTTTATTGTATTAATTACTTTTTGTTTTCTCTTTAGTTTATCTAATTTTAAGATAGATGTCCTTAGAGACCAGCTTCTTCATCTCTCACTTGGTTATAGTAGCTAGTAAATGTTATTTGATTACTGCTATGAAATCTGTAGCCACGATTTAAAATTTTTTACTTTTATATATTTCAGAACTATAGTAAAAAAAAATTGAATCAATTCATACAATTTTGGGGAGGCACTATAATAAGAAGCTTTGCTTTTTTTTTAAAACTACCTTTCTGGATGTTAAAAATTATTTGCTGAAATATTTCTTCATACGTAGATTTTACCTGTTACAGCAAATTTAACACTTGGAGACTTTAGTGTATCATCTATCTGTAATACAGTTGGGAAAATTAAATGCAGTAAAATATGTGAAGTGATAAGCTGGGTCCCAATATTAAGATAAATTAATATTGATATAAATTTGATGTGGAGAGAAGGATATTCTAGGAAAAATAGGACACCAAGAATTCATGACAGATTGTCCAATATTCTTGAGTTAACCACATCATAATAAATATAAAAAATAAGGGTAGATTGAAAAACATGTTGCAACAAGTAAGGTATACACTAAGGGTTTATATTCATAATACATAAATATCTTCTAGTAATCAATAAGACAGTAAGCCCAAAGAAAACTGAGCACAAATTAATAATAGGCAACTCATGGACAAGGAATACAAATATTAAAAATTTTTCAATCTTTCTATTATTTATAGAATGTGAAATTTTAAAAATATATATAATATTTATACACCAAGCACTAACTACACCCTAACTAATCTACTAAGCACTTTTGTATCTTATTTATTCTTTACAGTATCCTGAATTAAAACTGTAAGGCTTGTCATTTTATGAATACAAAATTGAAAGTGAGAGTGACTAAATAAATTTTGCATGTTTGCAAAGAAATTGAGTCTCTTTATCCTCAAAAGTCAGGCATTTTGGTCTTCATATACCACTTTTATCATTAAATGAATTAGGATATTATTTTTGTCTCTCTGCTTACAAAAATTTTTAAGTGATTTTTTTAGTGATTACTGTTCATTAGAATGCTATGGAAGGGATTATTCTTGTTTGTAGGAGGGAATGTTGAAGTATCTATAAAAATTTAGTACTCAGTAGTTTTACATAATTAAATGAATCCATAAGAATGACTGTGGAGCTGGGCGCAGTGGCCCATGCCTGTAATCCCAGCAACTCCAGAGGCTGAGGCAGGAGGATCAAGAGTTCAAAGCCAGCCTCAGCAAAAAATAGAGGTGCTAAGTAACTCAGTGAGACCCTGTCTCTAAATAAAATACAAAAAATAGGGGAGGGAATGTAGCTCAGTGGTCCAGTGCCCCTGAGTTCAATCCCCAGTAACACTCCCCCATCCCTCCAAAAAAGAATGTATTGCACCATGGTACTTAATGATATGAAATTGCAAACAACATAATTCCCTAAATATTCACAGTGAAATTATTAAATTATATACAAATCTCTTCTGCTATTCTATACAATTGTTACAAAAGGGACAATTCTGTCTAGATAACTTGACAAGGAATGATCTCTATTACATATTAACTAAAATGGGGGAATCCAGAATATTTAGTGTAGTAAAATTACACCAGCATATAAAGAAAATGTGTAAAGTATAGCAACAAACTGGCATGTTTTGAGTGCATACTAAATATTACTCACCTTTCTCTTTAAGTATGATCTGCTTTTGAGACTTATCATCTATTTTTTGTGTTAATTCCTGCTCTTTAATTTTTAATTTTTTACTTTCTCTTCTGTTTTCTCAAATGTTTAGATTTATTTCTTCTTGGTTTTTCTTTCTAATACTTAATTTCCTTTGGAGTACAATTTGATCTTCATTTTATAGATTTGCTACTTTAATGTAAGTCATGCTTATTATTTTTTAAAGTATTTTCTATTGTCAGTTTTTATTTCTTCTTTGATCCAAGAAATAATTTTAAAAAGGTCTTTTAAAATTTCTAAATGGATGGGGTTTTGTTAAGATGAATGGGTTTGTTTGACTATGCTTTTCTTTGTTAATTTCTAATGATAAATTATAGTTAAGGAATGTGCCTTATACAATTTATACTTTCTGGAATTTACTAAACTTTTCTTTTTGTCCCTTATAAGATTAAGGACTAAAACATGTTTTCTTTGTGGTTTACAGTGTTCTTTGTCACCTACTATATCAAACTTCAAAAATTATTTTAATCAACTCTTCTGAATTGTGATTTTTTCATTTTTTAATTTTATTAATATATATATAGGACCATTTTGTTTTTCTGAATTCATATATCACTATAACTGCTAGAGTTGTGATGCCTAAGTACTATAAGTACTAGTTAAGATGCTTAGTTAGGAAATATTCTCCTTGGAGGCAGTAAACAGTGGTTTGAGTGGAAATCTTTAGTGTCAAACTATGCTCTCGTATTAGTTTCTCATCATATATTTTCTCAGATCTATTTTTTTCTCCTCTACTGTTTAAATTCCAATTGAATTTGTATTACACTTCCTCTTCTTATCCTCTGTGGGTTTTTGTTTTTTCTTTTCTATACTTGTAGCATTCTGAGTAGGGCATTTTCATTCAATTTTTAGTTTACTTTTTCTCTTCAGCTACATTCTTAATGTATTGTTAAACATGATCATTGCATTTTTTCCCTAGACATTTTTTACTGCCTGCTATGATGTGTTTTTATGGTGACTAATACCCTACAAAGTTTTTTTTGTTGTTGTTTTTGTGGTGCTGTGCATATAAGGCAAATACTCTACCAACTGAGCTATATCCCCAACCCCCTGCAAAGTTTTTAAGGTTTCTTTTGTATTTGAAAATGGGACAATTCACAATAGCTAAACTGTGGAGCCAACCTAGATGCCCTTCAGTGGATGAATGGATTAAAAAAAATGTGGCATATATACCCAATGGAATTTTACTCAACAATAAAAGAGAATCAAATCATGGCATTTGCAGGTAAATGGATGGAGTTGGAGAAGATAATGCTAAGTGAAGTTAGCCAATCTCCAAAAAACAAATGTCGAATGTTTTCTCTGATATAAGGATGCTGACTCAGAGTGGCGTAGAGAGGGGGAACATGGGAGGAATAGATGAATTCTAGATAGGGAAGAGGGTTGGGAGGGAAAAGAAATGGGCAGGGGACTAGCAAGGATGGTGGAATGTGATAGACATCATTATCCAAAGTACATGTATGAAGATACGAATTGGGTGTCAACATACTTTATATACAACCAGAGATATGAAAACTTGTACTGTATATGTGTAATAAGAATTGTAATGCATTCCACTGTCGTTTATTTTTTTTAAAAAATCAATTTAAAAATTGAAAAAGACAATGTCAATAAGTTTTTATATAATCTATGACTGATTATTTCATATCTGAAGTTTTTGTGGGTCTGTTTTTATTGTTATTTCTGCTGTTTCCTTCCCTAGTGCTTTTTAATTTTTCTTGCAAACTAGTTATCATTCTCTGTGTGCTCTCAATTACATTTGAAAAATTATTTGTAGAACTAGTTTGCCAAAGATCAAAATATCTTCCTCTAAAAAGAATTTATGTTTACTTCTGCCAGGTGCCTAGTTGTACTACCAGTCAAAGAAAACTCTAATCCAGTGTCTGTCTCATGGACCTTGGGTAGTTCAAGTGAAGTAAAAGGGTTTAAAAATGTAGTTTTGCTTTTGATTCATTCTTAATCTTGGGTGAGGTCCTTCAGTGTCTTAGCTTATTGAGAATTAGGCCTTAGACTGTGATCTCCCCCTCCCCTTTTAAAACCCCTTTCCCCTAGACTCCTCAAAACACAGCTTTATATCTCAGCTTTTTTTGATAAAATCAGCAGGAATCCTCAGAGCAAAGTCAGTTAGCTTTGAATGCTTTGCTTAACTTTTAAACTTCTCTTGGATCTTGGCTTAGCAATTACTCATAATTTATTGTTTCTCTTCAGAAAATACTTTATCTAGTTCATCCAACGTTTTGTTTTCAAAACTGGCTTTATCAGAATTCCCTAGGATTTGATTAACAGAAATTCTTGCTGGGCTCTATTTATTTATTTATTTTGATTTTTTGGTTTGTTTGTTTTGGTTTTTGTACCAGAGATTAAACCCAGGGGTGTTTAACCACTGGGCCACATCCCTAGCCTTTTTTATTTTTATTTTGAGATAGGGTCTTGCTAAATTGCTTAGGGCCTCAACCTCCTGAGCCACTTGGATTACAGGCCTGTGCTACCTCCCTGGCTCTAGTTTGTTTTGTTTGTTTGTTTTGTATTTGTAGTTTGACAGAATGCCTTTATTTATTTTTATATGGTGCTAAGGTTCAAACCCAGTGTCTCAAGGCAAGAAAGCGCTGTATCACTGGGCCACAGCCCCAGCCCTCCTTGCTGTTTTTGAAAGTTCTATTTATTGGGCATGTGATTCATGCTTCAGGAAAGAAAAAAAAAATCTTTTAGGGTGTTAGGGTTTTTTCTCTTTTGTAAATCAACATTAAAAATTAGCAAGATTACTCCTAGGTATAACTGGATTTCTTTGGAATCAAGCAATACTATATGTGACTATAACCAGGTAGATAGGCACTTTTTTGCACATGTATATGATTTTAAAAGAAGCATGACTATATAAATATATAGAAATTGAAAATATTCAGTGTTTAATCTTCAACCAAAATAGAACTATCTACACCTAATTATCAGAGTTGATTATAGTACTTGTAAGCCAGAGTTTATAAGTTACCATCTGTCTTTTTTTTTTTTACTTTTAATAAAATAAAATCATTTAAGAGAGAAAATATTTCATTATAGAACATTTCCTTTCTTCATCCATTTGATGAAGAAATGAAATTTCATATTAATATCTGAAATCAATAACAAAACTGATGTTTTCACATTTTACTAAATCACCAATGGATAACCACAGATAAGAAATTGCTAAAGAAACACTGATAAAAATAGTAACAGATTTATATATATTTAACTTGAAGATTTTTGTTCAAATTTATAAATAAAAGCAACATATTTGAGAAGCAGTCTGCAATAAATTGTAGCATTAGTTATAATATCAAAGATGGTTTTAGATTTTGCAGATTAATATTTTAACATTTGAATTGCTTAAATTCACATAAATTGTGTTTTTTTTTTTTTTTTTATTGTATTACCTTTCTGTTAAGAATTCATTCTTGCACTTAATTAAATCTTTTTTTGGCAGTTTCTAGTTCAAGAATTCCACGCATGTTCACAGACATCATTTTTCTTACTGTAAAGCATTTGTTTCTTGATTTGCTGAGTTGAAGCATTCAATTTAAGTCATTAGCTAAACAGAAGTCCTCAGTTTATGCTAATATTGTTTTGTCACAATGTCAATCAGCAAGTATTGCAGAGTGACACAATGGCTGTGAATTTCATTGTCATTAATCTGAGAAAGCTTTGGGCTTTCCTTGGCAAAGAGCAGAGGTGGGCTGTGTCAAGGTTATGGAGGAGGTGTGAATTTTACTAAGCTTTGGTGGTTAGACCCATTTTTCCTTGAAATATCCTTAAGAGCTATTTAAGCTTAACCCCACAATTATAGGTAGAATAGAAGTTAGTTTATATTTAATGATTAGAAAATTGAAGCTAGAGACTTTAAGTAACTTACTCAAGCTGTCACAGCTTATTAGGTCAAAGTCTTGATTGGCGTCCAAGTCTCTGGTGAAGCCTGCTTTCTTATGTTTCAAATACCAGTGGTTAAAGCAAGAAGAGGCACAGTATTTGCATTATGTTTGCATCTTTGCAAAAGAGTAGTTTGTCATCTATTTCAGTGGAATATTGTGGAAATTCTTAATCTGGGAGTATTAAAAGGCCATGATGTTAGTTTGTTCTGTGTTACAGAGTAGTCAGTTTTTGGAAAATCACCAAGTTTATAAACTGTAGATTACTTGTACTATACAGCAAGATAATAGAGAACTGTACTGACAATGTCTGGTAATACACTTTAACATATTAGAAAGGAATTCTAAGGTAAATATATGTCATATATGCAAATCATGTCTTTATTTCTTTGTTAATTCTTAGGATATTCATGTTCTCTTCTTTCAGCTTTAGCAAACATTTCAGTATTTCAAGAAAGCTTCTTCCTTTGGTTTATTTGCCATTTTCTTATTAATCCACTTCTGAAGCATATATATCCATTATACTAGAAATAGTGGCATTGTTTATACACTTGAAGTGGTTGTGAGTATAATCCATGGCGCGATGTCTTGGTTATGCTAAGTGTCATAATTAAGAATATAGTATAAAAAATCTAAAAACCTGATTTGGTGGTGTCTTTTTTGTAGAATACATTTATGGATCAGAAGTAACATGCATGTTTAGCCCAGTGACACACTTAAAAAAATAACTTTACCAGGATCTTTCCATGGTAAAGAATCTACAGTTTTTCCTCAAAACCACTTTTGCCCATCTCTAACTGCTTAATAACATTAATATCAAGGTAAATTTAATATTAATGTTCAATTAAGATTTCAGATATAGGTATACATACATTTGTCTAAGGAAAAAGGGAAAGTCCTATCTGGTTGATTTTATTAATTCTGAGACTGTGAGGTAAGTTAGCCTTCAAGGTAAGTCTCTAAGTCTCAGAATTAAGGATCTTAAGTAATCCTGATTTAATATAAACTTGAGATGGGGACTACATTCAGAAAACAAAATGTACTAGTCCCTTGTTTATTTGTTTTTTAAGTGATATCATTACTGATATTCATATGTATAATATTGGAAGAAACATTCTGTGGTATACATATGGACATGATCAATTTGCTGTTTTATGTTCTCTTGACAACTTGAATGATGAGAGTAAGGTTTACCTTTACTTGCTCAAAGGGATCACATCTACATATTTGGCTTTACAAAGAATAGAGTTGTTTTCCTGCAAATTAGAGACTAATACTGAACCCTAGATCCTAAATCTCAGATCATACAAAGGAGGCTTTGGTATTGGTGATACGGCCAATCTTGCAGTTAGCTCCCCATACCACACAGTTGCAGCTGCAATCCTTTTTAACTAAGCCTTCTAATAAGGTGTGAAGGAGTACTGCTGTTACCAGCCTGTGATTTCTGACCTGGTAGGATCAGGCCATGCATTGTGGCCCCATGTCATATCAAAAGAAGACCATTCCTTCTTTAAGTGTTTATTATGCAACTTAAAATCCCCTCAACCCCATGCTTCAGGATCTCTCTCATAGTTTATAATACCCAGCCCTGACAGAATGCAGTGTGCTACCACAGAATGTAGTAGGGTGCCAGAGGACCTGTACAGCTAGTACTGATTCTCACTATGAGTTTTCCTTCCATAAGCACTTGTTTTGGCAAGCCTGATGTATGTGCCGCTTGACCATTTGCCTGTGTTTGCACAACAAACCAGAAATAGAACTTTCCTTTTGAAATCACTTGTGTAGTTTCTTCTTAAGATAAGGAATAATGTCCTAATAAAGTGCAAAATATACCTATAGGAGATTCATTTGCTGAGGGCAGAAGAAGCAAATCTAGCAGTCACTGAGGGTTTCATATATTAGGAATTTTTCTGTCACTAATCCCTTTTAGGCATTGTGTGATGACAGAAAATAGCAGTTACAATTTATTTGGCTACCATAGCATTTATTAAAATCTTCTTAAATGTCTTCTACCCAACTGTTAATTTAGTGATTTTTTTTCATACATCCAACATGCCTAGACAACAAATCCCAGGAATATAGAAATTTCAGCTAGTTTTAATGTCATTTTTAAAAAGTGTTTATATTTAAAATTAAAGGTGTTTTTAAATATTATTTTCACACTTTTTCATCTTCACACTGAATTTAGTGGATTAAAAGGATATTTTTAAACAAGAGTAAATCACTCTCTAAGGTTTTGATGCTTTTATATAATATATAATAATACTTTTTTGTGTGTATGCCAATTATTAAACCTAGGAGAGCACTTAACTACTGAGCCATATCCCCAGGTGGCCCCCGGACCCCACTTCCAAGTTGCTGAGGCTGGTTTTGCACTGGTGATTCTCCTGCCTCTGGTGATTCTCCTGCCTCAGTCAGCCTGGCTGCTGGGATTACAGACGTGCGCCACCACACTTAGCCTTGCTATGTTTCTTATAGGAATTTAATAATATTTACTATAAAAGTGACAATATAAATAATATTTATCCTTTGAAGGCTGATCTCTATACATATTCAAGTTAGGTATTTAATATAACTTAATTAAAATTTGAATCACTATTTCTTTACGACAAATTGGCTAAAGTTTTTATTTGTTTTGTTTTTGTCTTTTTCTGAAAAATGTCATTTAGAGAAATGTAAAGGATAATTCTATATTTGAATAGTAAGGGTAGCAAATCTATCTGCTTTTATTGTCATATATGTTCCTGTTAACAGAAATCCACAGAAACCATGTATTTTCTCATTGTTTAAATTGAATTATTGCCTGAATAAAGCACTTTACAGTGTCAGAAAAAATTATTTTAACAGTTTGCTGTAAACTATTCCCTAGAGAAATTATTGTTTTTCTTTTTTGTATACAATTGAGCATCTCTAATCCAAAATTCTAAATGTCCTCCAATCCAAAACTAATTAACCTGGTGCCACAAGTGGAGACATTCCACACCTGGCCTCTTTTGATGGGTTTGTAGGCCCACTAAAAATATCATATAAATTACCTTCAGGCTGTGTGTAAGATATATATGAAACAGATATGAATTTCTGTGTTTGTACTGTGTCCTATCCCAAGATATCTCTTATGCATTTGTAGATAATTTCAAAGTTTGAAAAAAATCTGAAATGTGAAGCACTTCTTGTCCTAATAATTGTAGATAAGGATTACCCAAACTGGAGATAAATTCTGTGTGTGTGTGTATGTGTGTGTGTGTGCATATGTATATAAACACATTAACATAATTTGTAAAACAAGCCAGATATATATGTGGAAAGAGAGAAATATACATACTTGTGTACATAGAAAGAAAGGTGAAGGAGTTGGGGGTGAATGAATGGAAAAAGAGGGAAAACAGGAGTTACTGTACTATGGTTCTTAACACTGTCTTTTAGCATTAGCATACTCTGTTTTTTTTTTTTTTAATAACTAAGCTTAGCCTCAAAAAGTACTCAATGATAGAGATGTCATATTTTAATATATTTTAGTAATGTTTTTCCCATCTTAATGTTAGGTCTTCAAACATGAACTAGCTTACTTATTGACTGGAATTCTTGGAGCAGCAATAGATTATTGGATTTTCCTTGGTCTTAAGATGGGTAGAAATGTGATGAGACACATGTCTGATGACTTAGGAACTTATATTTCCCTTTCATGTGATGGTAAGTGTGTCTTTGTTTTTTCTTAGCCTCATTCTGGAAATTGTTATGTTAATTTTTTTTTTTTTTTCAATTCTTTTGGTGGTACTAGAGATTGAATCCGGAGGACTTTGCCACTGAGCTACATACCCAGTTCTTTTTATATTATTATTTTGAATCAGGGTCTCACTGAGTTGCTGAGGCTGGCCTGGAACCTGCGTCAGCATCCTGAGTTGATAGAATTACAGGTGTACACCACCCCACCCAGCTAGAAATTAGTTTTGACTTTCCTTTAAGCAGTATGTAATCTTCTAATGTATGTTTAAATGATGCTTTCCTTAAAATAATTGCAGATAGATAGACAGATATATACAGGAACAACTGAAGATAAAATTACCCATAATGCACCCACATAGATAATCACTTTTAACTTATGATGTTTTTCTAGTATTTGTAAGTATTTTTTATGTAGTTGAGATTATTACTATATATGCAAGTTTGTATTCTTATTTTCCTCTAAATATTACAGGAGGCGTCCCCCCATATATATTATTTATTACCCAAAAGTATTTTTTAAATAGTTTTTGGTTGTTAATGAACCTTTATTTTTAATTTATTTATATATGGTGCTGAGAATTGAACCCAGACATACTAGGTAAGTGCTCTACCACTGAGCCACAATCCCAGCCCCTATTATCCAAAAATATTATTTTGATGTTTCATAAAAGTTGAATATTACTTAATAGAATAAAAATAATATATGGAAAGAAATTTTTTATTATATGTTATGTATAATATTAATATGGTTTCCTGATTCTACAACTAAAAATTGTAATTAGACAATCTTATGCAGTAGTTTTAAAAATTAGTTTTTACCCCCATTTCATTGGAGAAATAGATTCACTTTTTTATTTTAATATTTTTTTTAGTTGTCAGTGGACCTTTATTTTCTTATATATGGTGCTGAGAATCGAACACCAGTGCCTCACACATGCTTAGGCAAGCATTCTACCACTGAGCCACAACCCCATCCCTGAAGAAATAGATTCACTTTTTAATGTATGTTTTATAGAATCTTACATGTTCAGAACTATTTTCAGTATCTTTAATACCTCTAATTCTTTGAGTAGGATGCATTATCAGTCTCTTGTCTTACCTGTGCTATATGAATAATTACCAGGTTTTTTCCTATATAAACACCTAATAACATTAAAAAATGAAACTCATTGAATAAGAATACTTTTTACAAAGCCCCTTATATTAATCTGGTTTATATCACTCATTATAATATTTCCCCCCAGTGTACCTTTTGCTGTATAGTTTTTCTTAATATAATGTAAAAAAAACTATTAGCCAACTAGTTTGGTTGCTTTCATCTGGTTATCTAACAAGAAAGGAGTATGGATGAAGCAAATAGAAGTACTTTATACACATAATTTTCTCACTTTTCCTCCTCACCTTATTATCTAATTTTAAAGTTTTTTCTAAATTAAATGAAGAGTGTTATTTAAGTCTTATGATGACAGAATTCCTTTTCACAACTATCATCTTATGGTAAGTTCTAGTCAACTCTTTGACATGTCTAGTCTGAGGAAGGCTTCCCTAAGACCTTATGTATGTTTTCTAACTTCATAGCCCAATTTAGGAAGAGTATGCTTTTCTGAACTCTTGCCATTCCTTTTTGTTTCTGTAACTCTGAACTCCTAAAATGAACATATTTTAAATCAAGTGTACTTTGTGTGGCTCTCAGATATAAAAGATGATTTTTACATACTTAATTTTCAATTATTTAGACTGCTAAAACATATAATTTTGTTGCACATATTGTAGTGCATCTTAGTTTTATATAAAGAAAAAGTTCTTGAATCCGCTGTCAAGCAATTTAATACTTGAAAGAGAGATTCCAGAATAGGAATCCAGGTTATAACTGGGTTCAGGATTTATTTGATGATGTCCTCTGGAAAGATAGGTCTTTTTTTTATACTACCAAAGTTAGAAGATTTTTATCTAAAGCACTTTGTCTCCTTTTTTTTCTCTTTCTTTTTTATTGAGCCAAGGGGGTGATTGCTCTTTCTTTTGTGGACTAGCTGTCCTTTGTTGAGTGACTTTTTAACATTTCTTAGCACAAATTCAATCTTCCTTTGGAACCTTATCATTCTTTCCCACCATTTCTACTAGGTAGTGTAGTGTTTTTTGTCCTTTTAGAAACAGCAGAATTCTGGCATTGTTTGCCAGAGTGACAAATAATATTTGGCTAACAGAATTCCTTGTTTCCATTCTGTAATGAAACCTCTTTGAGTTTGAGGGCCCAGGACAGGATTATCAATGGCTTTAGAGCCTACCAATACAATTAAATATGTTATTTCCAGTACACAGTAATTGCCTTTAAGGAAATAAAAGTTATTTTATAGTTTAGTCAAATACATGACATTTGAACTTTATGTTAACAGAGTTCTTTGTGTAGCTTCAATGCTTTCCTTACTCATAAATTTCTCTTTACTATGAAGTAGGGCATTGTTATCCAGTGTTATTCTTATTTTCACATGTCAAATTTAAACCTTAGAAGTTTAAACCTATGACTAACTTGAGGTAGAACTTAATGTTACTTCGATAATCATGTCACCAAAATGATGCCAAGGATATATAATTGATCACTAATCTTTAAAACTCTAGATGTGTGCTTGGCTAGCATTGTACAACTCCCTGAGTCCAATACCAGTAACACACACACACACACATACACACACACACACACACACACACACACACACACTTATTTCCATAGGTTCCAAATTAGATTGCAGATAGGCTAGTTAAAAATTTCTAGCATATATTTCTAAAACTGGTTCAAATTAAATATTTCCCTAGTTTTTTTTTAAATTTATTTTATATTATTGTTTTTATATTTAATATTTATCAGGGTGTAGAAAATTAAGTGAACATTTCAACATTAAGAAAGCAGGAACTTTTCTATAGCTAAAGTGCAAAATAAAATTATATTTATTATGGGATTTGTAGAATACTACACTTTTCCCTACAAAGTGAACCAGGTGTTATTTCTAATTATATCCTTTCTGCTCATATTTTTATGAAGAAATTTGAGAATCATTGACATTGGGTTGTTTGCTTTTTTATTTTTTAACACTTTTTTGCATTCTTTATTTGGTTTTCCTCAGTACTGGACATTGAACCCAGGTACACTCTACCACTGAGCAGCACCTCAACCCTTTTTATTTTGAGACAGGGTCTTGCCTAGTTGGGGTGACTGGCTCAAACTGCTGATCCTCCTGCCGCATTCTAGGCAGTCTCTGGGAGTATAGGCATGCACCACCACACCCAGCTTTTTTTCATTATTCTTTGGCTCAGTTACTATCTTCTGCTTTTTCTAATTTGTAAGTAAAGATGCTATGTTGTTGTAGCATTACTTCCAGTTGAAGATATTGATCCATCTTTCTCGTTTAATTTTAGTATTACCCTTGTTAGTTTATAATTGGTGAAAATTAAGGCAATAAATAGTTCAGAAGACAAGTAAAATCTTACTTTCTTTCCATCACATCTTGTGTCTATCAGATTCACATTTTGGACAAAAAGAATTTCCTTCTTGTATTTTAAGGTCATGTGAAATTTATTTTCAATGCCTAATTGAAATTCCCAGTCTATTGGCGTAAACTAGGGTTAGCAAACCTTTTTAATGTAAAGTGCCAGATAGTAAACATTTCTGGCTTTTTTGTCCCTACTGTCTCTGTCCTGTCTGTGCTGCAGTTTTAGTAAGAAAAAGCAACTATACACAGTATATAAATGGATGAACATGGCTGTGTTCCAGTAAAACTTTGTTCATAAAAATAGGCAGCAAACCATTGTTTGCTAATTCTTGAGTTAAACAAATTTCTTCTGTTTTTTTTTTCCAATGGGAAAGAATACTTGTCATTAAAATTTTTATTTTTCACATCTTAAGAGTACTTTTTTTAAATATTTTTTTTTTAGTTCTTGCTGGACCTTTATTTAATTTATTTATTTTATATGTGGTACTGAGAATTGAACCTAGTGCTTCACACATGCTCGGCAAGTGCTCTACCACTGAGCTACAACCCCATCCCTTAAGAGTATTTTTAATAAACCTTCCTTTTCCCTTGGGTTGCATTATTATCTTTTCCTGATATTTTTTGTTTTTATTCAGTTTTACTTTTTTTACATCTATTCCCTTTTAATGCTTCCACGAATGCAAATTTTTATCTTTTTACTAATTGTAATTATCTCGTTCAAAATGCTTCTTTTTCTTTCATTCATAAAACACTTCTTTATTGGTGTTCAATTAGGCATTCAACTTAACACTTCATATATAGTGAAGGAGGGAAATAAAACATGATTCTTGCTTTTTTGGAGCTTTCAGTGGGAGAGGAAGATTGTAATAAAGTTAATGTAAATGTACCATTATACATCATTTAAAAATAAATGTTGAGAACAATTAAAACCATGGGTTGATACTGAACTACTTTGTATTGGACGATCAAAAAACACAGAACTTGAAAGATAAGCAAAAGTTTGGTACATTCAGGGGAGAGTATTCTTGTCAGAAGAGTAAAAATTTACCAGAATTCTTAAAGTAGGAAAGAGCTGAGGCTGTGTGAAGCCTTCTCACCGACTGGTAATAATATCAATGGAGTCAGAATAAGGCCAAAGAAATGGGTAAGGGAGTTTATGTAGGAACTTGTAAGCCATGCTGAGAATTAGAAGCTATTTAACAAGGGAATGGAAAGATCTGGTTAACTTTTCAAAAGATTTTTCTTGCTTTACTTTGTATTTTATTTCCATGAAAGAAAAAGAAGCATTTTGAATGAGATAATTACAATTAGTAAAAAGATAATTATAATTAGTAAAAAGTTATCTGTCACTCATTTTTTCATCTGTCAAATATGAATGTTTATTCTGTGCAATTTAGTGATATACATTCTGTGAGGGCTAAAAAATATGATCCTATTCTTTAAAGGTTTTGCAGTCTTGGCTAAGTTCTCTTGTTCATCTGT